CTGGGAGCCTGACTAAGCTGGGAGCTCATTGTGTTTTGTTCTGTTAAATAAGCGGAATATGGGCACATCCAGGGTGGGAGGGTGGGTATCATTGTGACGTCATATACCACCTATGGTACATGACCTTGGTGTGTGGCTTCCATCCCAAGGAGGCCTGGTGGCAGCAATATAGCAGCCCGGGACTCAGACATCAGGAAGAAGGTGAGGGAGGGTTGACACAGCCACACTGGCTGAGTCAGGAAGCCCCATCTGCTTCTTGGGACACTTGGAAAGTGACTTGTCTGGTTCACACTGCCACCCCAGAGCCAACAGGTTCTGTCATGACAGTGTCAGGAGAATGAACAGCAAACGCTGGGCAAAGATGAATGCAGCTTTACTGGCGGGGCTTGGAGTGCATGCCTGTGATCTCCATACTCAGGAAGCCGAAGCAGGAGGATCCAGGGCTCAAGGCTAGCCTGGGCTACTTCTGTTCAAACCGATGGTCCCTGCCCCTGAGACAGGTCTTTTATTTGTTCCTTGGGACTCATTTCTACCCTGCATCTTGACTAGGCTAGTGGTGCCATTCTCATCTTGACCGCCGGGGGGCAGCAAAGCTCAGGCTAACAAAGAGCTGATGGCACTCAGAGCCGTGGAAGGGCTGGGGTGCCTATGCGATTCAAGCTGGTCTCCGCAGGTGGTTCCCAGCCTAAGTCCCACACCCTCTTCTTGGGGCCACCTAGAACCCCAGACTCTTCCCTGGGGTTTCCACTAGCAGGACCTTCATCAGGTCTCCTGTCTGGCTCTTGTGTTTCCTGTTTCCTGTCTTCATGGAGTGATGGTGGTAGCCAGGGCCATGTGGAGGGGTAGGGGAGCCAGCAGGGGGGGGGTGTCCTCTCCCAATGCACATACCCCAAGCAGGAGAACCCATCCCAGGAGCCATGGGCTCTCAGATGTTTCCACCCTGCTGAAGGCTATTTCCACCTGTCCCCTCAGAACCCTCCCACCCCTTGCTCTTCTCCTCCCTCCCCAGGAGCCCTGGTTAGCACTCAGAGCAAGCACTCATTTTTAAGACCGGGTCTCATGTACGCCAGGCTGTCCTCCGGCCCCTCCTGCCCCCACCCGCAGAGAGCCAGGATTAGAGGCGTGCAGGCCATACTGGGTTTATGCAAGCTCTCTGCTCATGGAGCCACATCCTTAGCTCTCTGTTTTTTCTCAATTTTGTTTGATGGCGACAGGAAGTGCATTCCTTTGCTGGCACACCTTCTGGGGTTTGCAGACCTGTCTGGGGTCCCCGAGTCACCTGAACAGAGAGTCCTCAGCCTCAGGCTGGACCTGGTGTCTGTCTGCCCCCCAGGAGAAACTGAGGAAGACCACTGAGGAGGCAGACATTTTTGAGAACAAATACAAGGAGATTAGCAAGATCCTGGACCATCTCAAGAGCTCGGTGGAGAAGCTGTTTAAGAAGACCAACTGTGACGCCACGGAGATCCTGGTGAAGCTGGGTGAGACCGGGAAGATCACAGACATCAACCTCCAGCAGTACTTCGGTGAGCTGAGCAGGGGCCCGCCAGCTCTCCGGAGCTTTTCCCAGCGTGTTGTGTGGCCCGGTACAGGGGCTCTTGCTTTGGTTGCTAGTGAGTGCAGCCGTGGTGCAGCCTGCCCGGGTTCCTATCCTGATTGTGTGACGTTGGCCACGTTCCCGGCCCTCTCTGTGCTCGGGTTCTTCCACCTCTGAGGTGAGGGTGAACTCAGGAGCTACCTCGTTGGCTTGTGGGGAGGATCAAATATGGGGTAGTTGGTGATAACGCAGGAGAGGGATTTGGGGAAATTCAATTCCCTTAATAAAAACCAAGTAGAAGAGAGCTCCCTTACACATATACACAGACACTGTACCTCTACACGCACTCTTTCTCACACACACTTACATGGATGCATGTAGACACACATGTGCACACATGCGCACAAGGCACCCACAGAACCATGCGCGCACACACACACACACACACACACACACACACACACACACGCTCCGTATTTGAGCCTCATGTTTTCTCTAAGATTAGGAAGCAGGCGAGGAGGGCTCCCACCGAGCTCATCTAGAGCTGTGTATCTAGTAAGCCTTGCCAAGGCAATAAGGTAAGAAAAGGATCCTTGCCGTGGGGCCTGGCGGGTCGCACATGCTTATTAAACTGTCTTTTACATTTCTGGGTTGGGCTTCCGATTCCGGGTATAGAGTGGAGGTGGCCCCCCAGATCCTGGTTGGTGGCTTGGCATGAATGGCGCCCACCATTCTTAGAATTTAACTCGTAGGGGCTGGAGAGATGCCCAGTGGTTAAGGGTGTATACTGCTCTTGCAGAGGAGCTGAGTTTGAGTCCCAGCACCCATACCAGGCACCCCGGGCAGAAGGAATGGCCTAAACGAAGGCCTAAGGGTCAGGCTACCCCTGGCTTTTAAGTTATAGCGAACACTAGTTTGGGGCTTCTCACTGTTAGCACCAAGAGAACCTTTTTTGGACTCTGCTTTAAGAAACGGTCACTCGTGGTGCTTTGAACGCCTTAGACCTACTGTGTGGTCCCCTGAGCAGCTCTGCTTATGTGCCTTAAAGAGTCTCGAGGTCAGCTTCTCCCAGCCAGCGGCCAGGAGAAAGCCTTGAACACCAGCTCCTGTCCCTCCCTGTCACAGCAGCAGCCGCCCCCAGGCCTGCCGCTGCCACCCTGCCTCCTGAACCTGTTGTCTTCCAGCTATCATTGAAAAGAAGACCAATGACCTGCTGATCCTGGAGTCCTTCCGGCGCATGCAGGATGCCGAGAGCCCTGATGTGGACCTCCCACAGCCCTTTGTCAACCCCTTCTGGGGCGGCTCTGCCCTCCTCAAGCCCCCGGAGCCCGCAAGGGTCGTGCCGCCTGTGTTCGGGACGGCGGACTCCTTCAGTGAGAAATTTGAAGAGGGTGAGTTCTTGCTCCCTGACACCCAGGCAGGCCCCTGGGTGGAGTATTTCAAGGAGCCGGAGTCCCTGCAGGGTCTCGGTGGCCAAGCCGCCATGAGTAATCACCACACTTCAGCTACTTGTCAGAAAACACAGACGGGAAAGAGATGGTTGTGGAAAACCCGAGGGGCCAAATCAGAAACAAGCAAAGGACCCAACACACGTGTGCACACGGCACACGCAGACTCAAACACACAAGCTCACTCACTCACGCATATGCACTCACACACCCACATAAACACGCACTCACAGTTTACTCAAAAACATACGCGCTCTCACACATACTCATACGCACTCGTACACATTCATAAGCACACATTCTCCACACACACACACACACACACACACACACACACACACACACACACACAGGTGCATGCGCACGCCCCATTCACTCTTAGCACTTACCTGGACACGGAAAGGAGTTGCTATGCAGCCACTGAAATGAATGTCTGCCTGGGTAGCAATGGCTTGACAATCAGACAGTTTCGTCTGTGCTTATGAAACCGGCGGTGTCTCCCACCCTCGACCGGGGGGTTCCCTAGGGGAGCTCTGAAGGGCTTTTCACCCCATGCCCAGCCCGGCATGGCGGAGTGACCCTTCCCTGGGAAGGCTGTGAGCTGGGCAGCGAACTCCCAGCCCCTCACAGAGCTCTGCCCTGGCTTCAGTGAACCACCCTCTGGACCACAGTACTCTCCGGCAGCTGGTCTTGGAGAACTACCTCCAGAAGGAACGTGCCAAGGACCCTCAAGACACCGTATCGGAGAAGGGGGACGAGCTGAGGCCCAAGAAGAAGATGATAGGCTGAGCCTTGGGTGGCTGTGCTCCACACCCAGAGAGAATAAACATTTTCTTGCTGAGCCCCAGGGCCTTTGCATGGGCCATGCCGAGGGGCTCGGAGGGTCGGAGACCAGCTTCCCAGTGTGCTGAGGGGCGAGAAGGAGGCGGCTCAGAAGTAGCCTGAGGTCTGTGTGACCCCTGATGATGCTGAGAGTGTGGCCAGTATCCTTTCCCCCCCACCCCCCGCCCTCAGCAACCGACAAGGCTTGCCAGTGGTAATACGAGGCCTGACGGTGTGAGGGGCTCGTGCTGAAATGCTGATGTTAAGACTCTGAGGGCAAGGTGGACACTTACAGTGGGGACCAGTGTCTGGGGAGTTGAGCACATGTGTGCCTTGGGGCTGGGTGTCCCCACAGAACTGAGCTGGGGCCCACAGGCCTCACTGTCTCTCCAGAGCCCAGGTCTCTGGGACCCCAGCCTCAGTGTCTCTGGGGTACACTCCCAGGACCACAGCTAGGGAATGGGTAGTCCAGAGTTTGGGAGGGCTCTGATCCTTCAGGACCCACCCCTTGAGCCCCAGCTTCCTGCAAGGGGGCCGCAGGGACCTCATTGGTTGCAGGGCTGGATCTGACCCTGGGTATGAGGCTATGGGTTCCTTCCCTTTCTCAGACAGGGCCTTGCTATATAGCCCAGGCTAGTCTTGGATGTCACCATGTGTGGTCCCAGTGATTCTCTTGAAGCTGGCTCCTTGCTTTTAGTTTATCTCTGGGGACTCAGCTCTAGGGTTATGCAAAGGACCAAGTTGGGAGAGCCAGGGACAGCCACCACAGCTTTTGGTTTGTTTGTTTTGTTTTTTTCCTTTGAGACAGGATCTCACTATGTAGCCCAAACTGGCTTGAAACTCACTATGTAAATCAGGCTAAGTCTGGAACTCACAGAGATCCACCTGCCTCTGCCTCCTGAGTGCTGGGATTACAGTTGTGTGCCACCATGCCCATATTGGGCTATTCCAAGCCCCCCTCCCCGCTTTTGCCACCTTTAAGGCCTGGGCCCTAGAAAGCAGAGCTAAGAAAGACTGCCTTGGAACAGACAGACAGCACTATTCATTCCTGGGTGCAGCTGGTCCTGAAGTCCATGGACTTCCTAGAACTCAGAGATCCATCTGCCGCTGCCTCCCAAGTGCTGGGGTTAGAGGCGGCACCTCTACTAGGGAGAACCGTCTGTTTTTCAAACTGAGATTCCTGCAGCCTTCACAGAACCCAAACCCTTTGTGACTTTGTCTACTCAAAAGCCAATGAGCCAAGGGCCACCAGGATTAGGTCCAAGACTTCCTGTTTATTTGCACACACGGTCCTAGGATGGTGCGCACCTGCAGGCTGGAGCGGCCGGGGCTGGAGGCAGAGACCTGGCCGCAGGTCACGAGAGGCCGAGGCCGAGCTCAATCCTTCTCTTCCCCGTGGGTGATGATGTGGACTAAATTCTTGTAATCTAGATTGCCGGTGACATCAGGGGGAAAGGCCGCGAACATCTGATCAATCTACGAGCGAGAACAGTGGGACGCAGAGACGTTGAGAGAGGTAGGGGCGGAGAGGGCCTGAGATCCCCGAAGGACCTCCATCTCCCACACCTGGCCTTCCTGTGGCAGCTGTCACCAGGACCGAGGCGGGAGGGCAATCAGAAGGCCCAGCTCCCTGGGAACTCAGCCCCAGCTATTGTCCAGGCTCAGCTTCTGTGTCCACATGCTCCTGTGGACACCCCTGCCTTTACTCCCTAGGGTGATCTGAGGTCCCCTAGAGCCTCCAGACACTGCATGGTAAAAAGGAGATCCAGCTACAGAGGGGGTTGCTGGACAGGCCATGCTCAGGTGTGAGGGGCCTGGTGGGGACTGTGGCAGGATGTAGGCCTGTGACTGTGATCCTATGGCCAGAGAGGTCATATTCTTGGCGGGAAACCAGAACTTGAGGTGGGTTATTTCACATGCAACTTCCCTCTTCAAAAGTTTTGGGTGATGCCAGCCGCAGTGGCGCACACCTGTAATCCCAGCACTCAGGAGGCAGAGGCAGATGGATCTCTGTGAGTTCAAGGCCAGCCTGGTCTACAAAGCTAGTCTAGGATAACCAGGGCTACACAGAGGAACCCTGTCTCAAAAACATTTTTTTTTTAAATAGGCAAACAAACAAAAAGTTTTGGATGAAGCAAGCACAATGGTGTGTGTGATCCCAGCATGGGAAGGCAGAGACAGGAGAATCTGGAATTCAAAGTCGCCTGGTTTAAGCAGCAAGTTTCAGGCCAGCCAGGGCTGTGTAGTGAAACCCTTTCTTCAAAGGCAGCTCGCAAGTAGTTTTGAGTGGCTACTCTTGGTCCCTCCCCCACACACTTTGCTCTCCCATCTTTCTCTACCTCAAAGCGTCGGGGATTGAAGCCAGGGTTGCATGCACATTAGGAGAGTGGCCTGGCTCTGGGCTGCAGCCCTGCCTTGTTAATCTTTGACTCTGTGGCAGGTCTCACCAAGCTGCCCAGGTCGGCCTTGAACTACACGAAATCCTCAAGCCTCAGGAGGGACGGGGCAGTGGGTTCTGCTCTCATCCCGCCCTGACAGATGGGGAGACTCAGGCTGGAGGCTAGAGTCCCGAGAGCTGCTAGCTGGTGGTGTATGGGAGACGGAGCCCCGGGGAAGGGGGCTGGGCGCCTGGGACCCTATGGACCCCGTACCTCCTCTTTGGAGAACCTCTCCGCTTGGGTGGTCAGCATCTCCCGGACACTGTAGGAGAGGAGAATGCAGAGGATGGTGACATACATTGGGGGTGGAAAGTGGGGACCCCTCCCCCTCAGAACCCACTCACTAGTCAGCCTTCAGTGATCCTTTGCCTTCAGGGTCAAACACCTTAAATGCATTGAGAATGGTCTCCTCAGGGTCAGCCCCTGCAAGAGAAGATAGGCTTACCATCCGCCAGGACTGGGGCCACATGGCGGCCACGCCTTCCCATAAACCCTGCTCCCGGTCACCTTCCGCCTTTACGGGCATGCTGTGCCCGCATGTGCTATGCACACGCATACATACGTGAATAAAAGTAAAATCTTAAAGGGAAGGCTGAGGAACCAACAGGAAGTCAAGTGCCTGAGAGGCGTCAAAGACAAGCCTGAGCATTGTGACTCTGGGACTTTGACGGCTGGGGGAGCTTCAAGCAAGTTGACTTTCTGTCTCTCCACCCACTGTGACCTGGGGGGGTGGGTGAGAGCCAGCCTCTCAGGCGCTCTGAAGTGTGTCAGCCTGAGGCTGGGTAGAGGCCTTGGAACAGCTCCCTCCTCCCCTCGCCTCTTTCCCACCACCCTCCTTGGTCTGGAGAAGTGCCCCTGTGGAGGGGGCATATCCTTCTGGAAAAGCTCCGCCCCCAGCTGAAGCAGCAGCCCTGGGGGTTTGTGCTAATTGCTTTTGTGCTAATTTCCTTCTTTAAAGTGTGTGGCTCTTTTGCCTGCATGTATGTCTGTGAATTACATGTGTGTCCAGAGAGAACATTGGCCCTCCTGGAACTGGAGTTAGAGATGGTTGTGAACCACCATGTAGGTACAAGGAATTGAACCTGGGTCCTTGGGAAGAGTAGCCAGTGCTCGGAACCACTGAGCTGCCTCTCCAGCCCTCCCACACTAGTTTTCAATGGGTCCTTATTCTCTTGTTCACGTGCCCATGTCTCTTCTAATGTTTAATTCAGCCCATAGATGAACATATGAGAGACCAAAGGATAAAGTGGTAGCTATCTTTAAAACCTAGAGTAGGTGTGGTAACAAAGTTAGTAGTGCCCTGAGGGGAGAGCTACCTCACTGCATTCTTTCCCCACCCACTAGAGATACGGTTGCTAGGAAACTGGACCATCCTCCTAGGGAGGGACACCTGGTCATGGTCAATGGCCTGGGAACCTTCCTATAGCCAATCGATTCAAAATGTAACATCTTGACCAATAGATGCTTGGCAGGCAGGAATCGCCCCTGCCTTGGGCATGCTGGGATGGACAAGAATCTATAAATCACCCAACTAACCTGGGCACGCGCGCTCAGCTCCCACCGCTTTGGCGGTGGGGCTGTGTAGGCCCAAGCTGCAGCTTGTAATTTACAATAAAAAGACCGTCATGTGTTTTGCAACGGAGTCGATTCCTGTAGATCTTTTGGGGGCTCGCGAACTGGGTATAACACACACACACACATACACACACATGGACACAGACTCACACAGTTGCTCACCTTTAAGTTTCTCCCCAAACATTGTGAGGAACACGGTGAAGTTAATTGGGCCTGGAGCCTCTTTGATCATTTCGTCAATCTCTTCATTTTTCACGTTCACACGTCCTGGTGGAAGACACAGAGACTCAGAGCTGGGAGGGGGTGTCTTCTGTCTTTGTTTTTTATGATTTATTTTATTATGTATATAGTATTCTGCCTGCAGGCCAGGAAAGAGCACCAGACCTCGTTATAGAGGGTTGTGAGCCACCATGTGGTTGCTGGGAATTGAACTCAGGACCTCTGGAAGAACAGCCAGTGCTCTTAACCTCTGAGCCATCTCCCCAGCTCCCTGCTGTCCTTTTTGATGCCAATTCTAGGAGGCTGGTCTAGAAACCATTAGGGACAGTGGTGTGTGTGTGTGAGACACACACACACACACACACACACACACAGCAGATGCTCCCAGCGGTGTTTTCTAGAAGCGAGGCAGAAGTTGACATGGACTGATGGAGTGGGACAGCTGAACCAGTGTCATCAGCAAGGCTGGGGTCGCGGCTCGGGATGAAGTGGTCGCCTAGTGCGAACAAGTCCCTGGACCCCACTCCCAGCCCCATAAGAACCAGATGTGGTGGTGAATGCCTGTAATCTCAGCACTGGGGAGGATCAGAAATGTAAGGTTAGTGAAGTTGGGGCTAGCCTGGGCTACACAAGACCTGAGCTCATTAAATCGTGTCTTCAGGCCTGAAACCTTTAACACAAGTGAGCAATGCTTCTGTTGCAATGTCTTTGGCAGATGGGCCTGTGAACTACGTGTGTGTTGAGGGGCTTCTGCCCCGTCACCAAGGGAACATATTCTGTCAGGCCTGCTGCAGCCCACAGCTGTGTAGCATTACACACTTGCTGTCTCTCCTGCCACAGCGCACCGTCTGTGTGCAAGCTAGACAAAGATGCTCCTCTTCCTCCTCCTCCCTTGACAGGGATTCTCAGCTTTGTAGACCAGGCTGGCCTCACTCACAGCCTGCCTTTGGGCTGGGATTAAAGGTGTGCACCTCTTTTTTTTTTAAATTCTATTTATTATGAATATGAGCCTGAGTGACAGCAGAGAGCTGGTTGTGAGCCACCAGGCAGTTGCTGGGCATTGAACTCAGGACCTCTGGAAGAACAGACGATGCTCTTAACCACTGAGCCCTCTCTCCAACCAGGCGTGCACCTCTTAAGACTGTTTTTAAGATTAAAAAGCTACGTCAGCCCCAAAGGTGACAAGTGCGGGGAGCGACCCGCAGAGAGCTGCTCATGGTGGCTCTCAGCTCTGCGACGGGAGCAGGTGGTCCTGGGGGGCAGGCTCACACTGCTGAGGTGTTAAATGAGCCTAAGTCCCAAACAGGAAGACCCCAGGGGTCTGGAAGGATTTCAAGGACTGAGACCGAAGTGGTGACTGCAGCGTGCCCATCGGGGTAATTCTGTTTTCTCCCTTACTCTTTTCTCAGCGGTTTGAGCCTGGAATGCGTTAAAAAAAAAAAAAAAAACTCTCCTCCCTCCCTCTCCATTCCTACCCATCCTGGATCAAAAAGAGAGGAGAAAGCATGCAAGGCCGCTGGAGTTGGTTCCCACTCCTCGCCCCTACCCTGGGGCACCGTCTGCACAAGGCCGGTGCCACATACCTAGGGCAGCAAATGTGTCCCTCAGGTCGTTCTTGTCGATGAAGCCATCTCTGTTCTGGTCCATGATTGTGAAGGCCTGTGGGAGGGTGGCTGGTCAGCTGGTGCCAGAGCTGGGGTGGGGTGGGGTGGGGACAAGAGGCCCAGCTGAAGGGCGGAGGAGGGGCTTCTGGGGACTTCAGGGAAGACAGTAGAGAGTGACTCAAGGATTGAGTCTGAGCTGATCAAACAATGATCTCTCTGCCGGGCCCACAGTCCCAGGGACTGAGAACGTGCCCGTAAAACCATGTCCAGAACATCCTGACTCAGGAGAGCCAAACGTCCTTTGAGGGAGGAGTGAGAGGCCCACAGAACAATATGTTTCAGTGTATTGATGGCCGTCCCAGCCAGGGTGAACCCTGAGGGGGAGTTCACAGAGGAAGGGCGTCCACCAAGCCAGAGAGTGGGCCACCGGCTGCCGGGGTCCCTGGGGAGGGAACTGGCCATGAAAGGCATGCAGTTTCCTTTTTGGGGTGACAGGTGTCCTGGGATTGGACTTTGATGGCCAGTAAAACCCGGGGCTCTGCAGACGGTGGCATTGCGCCTTCTGAGTTAGCAGGGACATGGGTACCATCTTAGAACCTGTCTAGAAGTGCTTCTGTGACCACAGCCAGCCCCCATCATCACCAAGGGCCAGGTGAGAATGAGGACCACGCGGTGCTGCTGGGACACGGCTCTGAGCCTGTCCTTCTTGGTGGTGGACAAAGGCTTCACCCTGCGACTTTGGTGCCTGCTGCGAGGCACAGCCCCACTGTTGAGGGCAACAGGTCACACACAGCCCCAGGCTTCCCTGCCTTTCCTGCTCTGGTGGGTGGAACGGAAATTCTCTATAGCAGGGACACAGCGGCGATGGACAGCGGTGGGCAGCCATGTGCATGTGCCCCGCCCAGCTCACCAGGAACCCAGGCAGGAAAGGAGAGCCAGGGAGGGTCACAGGAACCAGGGGCTGGACTCTGGCCTCCTGCCATCCTTCCCCATCTCTCTCTCTCTCCCATCTTTTTGCCTGCTTACCACCCCAAGCACGGGAGCCACTGAGGATCTCGGGACACAGTGCTGGTGGACCACCCTGAGCAGAGATCGCCAGTGGGCAGCTGTGGCTACCCAGCGCCTCCTTTGTCCTGTGCTTTTCTGGAAAATCCTTGCATTTCAGCAAGGGGGGGGGGAGGTGCTTTTTTTGGACAATCCACACAAGTTGCTAAGACCAGGTGATTCTTTGGGGCTTCACACACAGTCGGGATGAGCCTGGGCAGGTTGGCAGGCTGGTCATTTCCCATGTTGGGTGTCCTTATATCTGGGCAAGGGTGACTCTGCCACACCCACCTCCTTGAACTCCTGGATCTGGGTCTGCTCGAACATGGAGAACACGTTGGAGCTTCCGCCCTCCAGTCTCTTCTTGGCTTTCTTAGGTGGCTGGAGAGGAAGAATTGATTAGACACCACTAAGCCATCAGGATCAGGCCCTGTTACCCAGTGAGTGAGTCTCTGTTGCCCAGATAACATGAGAGATAAATGACGCCCAAAGCATTCAAACATTATCTGATTCTCTCCTCCACTTCACCAAGGAGACAGAGGTCCTGGAGTCTCAGAGAGGGAGAGTCACTTACCCTAGGTCATACAGCCATGGAAACTCATGCAGTCTGTGCCCCTAGCCATGGTCTCACTCTGACTAGCAGTTGGGGACTGCCTGGTCTGGGAGGCAGACTCAGATAATACAAGAGAGAACCTTTTACATTTTCAAGTTCAAAAGATAGAACAGAAAAAAAAAATCTTTTTGACTGCCTGGATGGGGAAAAGAAAAGAATTACAATTTGATCCTTAAAAGCCTTCAGTCTCATTTGGCAAGCTCCAGGAGTTATTGATTTCCGGAGAGGTCAGGAAGCAGGCAGCCCCCCCTCAAAAAACAAAACAAAACAAAAAAACCCACCTCTCTTTTCTTTGATTTTTGCAGGTTCCCTGGGGAGCTGCTGTTTGCGACTCCTTGGGGACCCTGATTGGGGTCCCTCCGCATGCTTGTCCATCCAGGGTTACAGGGTCTTTCAAGAGCCTCCCCCCTCCTGCAATGGAGTCCTTGGCTTGGGGGTGTCAATTTTCTGCCCACCCTGGTCTCCCCTCAAGGGTCCAATGGCCACTCACCATGGTGTCTGGAGCTGGCTGCTGTCTCTGGAGAAGTCAATGAGCCTGCCGGCGCCTCTGCAGCGGAACAATAAATACCTCTCCCCTGGGTTAAAAATAACCCCATGACCACTTTTGGCAGTCGTAGGTGAGGTGAAGGCCACCTAAGCCCCCCCACCCCATGCCGTTCTTCTGAAGTAAGAGCCCTCGCTGGCGGCCGCTGCCTGGGTGGACATGTGAGACCCAAAAATGCTTTCAAGGTTAAAGAAGGTGGCTGGGGCCGGGGCCCAGGAACGATGCTGTGTGCTCTGCCCTGCCTGTGATTGTCTAATGGGAAAGAGTAACCCAGGAGGAGGAAAAGGGGGAAGGAAAAGGAAGAGGGGGAAGGGGGAGAGGAGGAAGGAGAGGAAAGGGGGAGAAGGAAAAAGAAGAGGAGAAAGAGGAGGAAAAGGAAGAGGGGAAGGAGAAAGAGGAGGGGAGGAGGAAGAGGAAGAGGAGGAGGAAGAAGAGGAAGAAGAGAAGGAGGAGGTGGTGGCAGTATGAGCATGTGGCCCTGGATCCAGGCACCCTTGAACCTCAGGACCTTAGCGCCTGCGCACCCGGGCAGACTCTGGCGGGCACACTGCCATCTTTGCTCAGATGCCACCCGCCCTTGTCCTCTGCCTCTCTTCTCTGCTTTGTGTCTCCACCCACCTGCGCAGGGACAGCCAGCTCCCAAGGGCGGGGTCTCTTCGTTGCCCACTCACCACCTGTACCCTCTCGTACTTTGAACACAAAAGCTTCTTGGAGGTTGGCACTTGTGGACCAACCGAAGAAATGACAAATGCCTCACACTTGTGTTCAAGTCTCCAGCCACCCAGCGGGAGCAAGACCAGCCTAGCAGTCGGGTCCCCATCACGCAAATGTGAAAAAGATGAGGCTCAGGGAGTCAGTTGGGCCAGCTCTGGGGACAGTGGCGGAGTGACCTCGTCTCCCAAGGGCTTGGAGGATTGGCATGTGCCACTACACGGATCCCTTTTCTTTCCTGAGACAAGGTCTCACGAAGCTCAGGCTGGCCTTGAACTTACTATGTAGCTGGGACTGACTTTGGACTTCTGATCCTCCTGCCTCCTCCTCTTGAGTGCTGGAATAACAAAGGTAAGATCCAGGCAACATCCGGGAGGCCACAGTCAGTCATTTCCTCCCCAGGTCAAGATGCTCTCACACTGTGTGGCACAAACATGCAGCTCCACATTGCAATTAGAAAGAAAGAAGGGGGAGGGGAGGGGAGGTGACACACCTGTTACCCCGGCACCCAGGACGCTGAGGCAGGAGGATCAGGAGTGTACAGTCACCCTTGGGCTAGCCTGGGCTACGTGACTGTCAAACAAACAAAACAAAAACTACTAGTTGAACAAAACCCCATTTTCCTGGCTTGCGGAGATTGTATTGAGGCACACGTGACTTGCCGAGTGCCGTGGTGGCTCAGAAAGGAGGTGACCCACAATGGATGCAGGAGGGTAGAGACTGGGGTTAGAGGTTTCCGTGAGTCTGAGCCACCACAGAGGTAACCTGTTCCCGAGGGCTACTGGGCCCCTGAGTGGCTGGGGAAACATTCTGTTTATTTGGTGAAAGAACCCAGGCCTGAGGACCTGAGCTGCCTCAGACCTTCACAGCTTCTGTGAAACCCTGCTCCATCCCGTAAGAATTGGGCCGTTGAGTTCAGTGAAGGAGATCAGAGGCTTCTGGGAATATGGTGGCCCAGCTAGGGCACAAAGCCAGATGGGCTGGAGACTCAGGGTTTCTGTACAGGCAGCCGGAGCCCAGCAGGGAGGATGCTGGGAAGACCTAGTGTGGGTCCGTGCAGGCCCGGGGGAGGGGGGGCAGGGACTCGGCTCCCTTCTCATGGGGCACCACGGGGCCTGATAGTGCTCTGACACCAGGCTCTTGGCCAACACCCATCCTATGACTCCAAGCTCTTGCTGCAGCCTGGAAGTTTCTGAGAACCAGCCCCAAGTGCCACTGAGCACAGAATCAGGCGCCCCGAGTGGACCGGTCAGAGCTTCCAGAACACTCGAGAACAAAGCAAGCGTATTGCTTTCCCATTGCCGTTACAAAAATACAGCGGTGAACCCGGTGCCCAGAGCAGCCAGGCTTGCTACCTGGCAGGGTTGGCGGTCAGAAATAGAAATCAGGCAGAGGGCCGCGTCCCGCTGAGGATGTGGATGCGGGTGCGGTCCTTTCCTTTGCCCCTTCCAGCTCCTGGCAGCTGCCCGAATTCCTGGGCTCACATCCCCAATCAGTGCAGCCTCAGCCTGGCCTTCCTGGCAGTTCAGTGTCCCTCACAACAATAAGACATAAACGTGTTCAAAGGTGCAGAAAAATATACACCAAAGAACAAAACAAAACCACACCCTGCCCCCACAAACGAACAAAGGCCAGACTATATACAGATTCCATTAGGGGTGGGGGAGGTGGCTCAGCATTAAGTCCTGAATTCTATCACAATTCAAATGCAAACCCACATAAAAGGTGGGCATGGGTGGTGTGGGCCTGAAAGCCCACCGAGGAGGAGATGGAAGGGCTCCAGCTTGCTGGCCAACAAGGGGAGCTTAAAAAGAATGAATCCCTGGCCTCGGAGAGACCCTGTCTAAAAAAAAAAATACGATGACCGGCCTCTGAAAAATGACATCCCAGGTTGACTCTGGCCTCTACACATACACACGGGTGCACACGACAGGTGTAAGCCACACGGGCACGCACGCGCACACACACACACACACACACACATACGTGCACACACACACACACACACACACACACACACAAATTACTCTTTGACGGTCTTTAGAGATGAGGAGAGAGAAAATGTGGGTCCGATTTAGAAACAGAAAAATGATTTTGCCCCCGTTCTAAGGACTTACCATTTATTAGCATTATTATTATTATTACCATTTTTGTTCTGTGTGCAGGATCCAGTGTCCACCGGAGTCAGGGGAATTTGGGGCTTCTATGGCTCCCCGCAGCTCCTGGGTTGCAAATTTAATCCCCACATTTGGTAGTGCCAGAGGGTGGGGTCTGTGAAAGGCGAATGAGGTTGGATGAGGTCGTGGAGATGGGATTAGTGGCCCTCAGCAGCCTCCAGCCATGGAGAAATAACTCTCTTGTGTTTGTAAACGACCCAGCCTCTGGGGCTGTGTTATGGTAACCCTGATGATTAACTCGGGGGAGATGCACTCTGAGAGCCTCAGGGGTGTGTCTGTCTACAGTGTAATAGACAGAGAAGGAATATCACTTATTTTCTGGGGTTTTGTCCTGTTTTTTTGTTTGTTTGTTTGTTTTGTTTTGTTTTGTATTGAATCTCACGTAGCCCAGGCTGGCCCTGATTGTGTAGCAGAGGATGACCTTGAACTTCTGATCTTCCTGTCTCGGCCTCCTGAGTGCTGGGTTGACCCATGAAATGCCTTTGCTTTTAAAAGCAAGTATTGATTTTTTTTTTTCCTTCGAGCAAGCAAAGAAACCAAACAAAAACCTCAAATGCCAAACCTCAGGGAAACTCGAGTGGAATCCAGCACTGAGCAGATAAAGTGGCAAGGCCCCGCTCTGCACTAAAGGTGAAGTACATTACAGGACCCGTCGGTTCCAGCTTCCGTCCCAGGACTGGGCTCAAAGCAAAACAAACGAAACCAAACAAAAACCCGACAGATGTGACTCATGATGGCTCTGGTCACGGGGAAGTGAGCATGTGCCACACGGGGACTGTCCACAGAGAGGAGACAGCTGCTGGCCCTGGAGAGATTCTCACACTTAGGGAAAACACAGCAACTTCTGCAGTTTGAGGAATCACGAACATGTCGGACCTAGTCGCTGGCAGAAAGCGTTTGCCAGGTTAAGTGACTCAGCCCACTTGGGAATATCTGGGCTTCTAGGGAGATTAAGACAGAGGACTTTGGCCCACAGTCCCAAGGATGACTGTTTGTCATCTGCTAGACTGGAGCCAGAGGGAATATTCTCTTTTGATTCTCCTTGCTTGGGCATTAAGCATCCATGTGACATTAGGTAGGGTTTTTGTGTTTTGTTTTTGTTTTCTTCCCCCTTTCTCAGGCTCAGTGTTCTAATCTGAAGAATGGGCATAATAATAACATTACCTTCTTAGGTCTGTCATGAGGACAGAATCAGAGGGTGTATCATGTGTGCTCTGGCACTGGCAACATTTGTGGTAATTGTGTGGGTGTTGACCTGGGGACTCCTGTTGGGGTGAAGAGCCTGCTAACTTTTACTCCAGGCCTGGAGACTGGTCTGATCAGGTGGGACTAACTTGGAAGTGGAGGGTTGTTTTCGCACAGGCTGTGTGTACTGTGGAGACCCAAGGTCAAGGCCTCTATCTGAACTTGGACCTCATACCTTCACGTGAGCTCACAGTGCTTTCTGAAAATGGCCATGGCAGGAGGATGTGTTCCACAGGCCGCAGGCCTGGATGGCAGCTCGCCACTGCTAGGGTCCTGTTAAAATAACAGTTGCATTTCTGAAGATAAGAGTGAGTGGGCGCTGGAGTCGGTGATGTCAGAAGCCAGGACAGCAGGTAGGACCAGTAAGGAAAGATTGGGGCTGGAAATCCTAGCTTTGTCGATGGTGATGATGGTGATGGCTAGAGAGAGGGGCTTGGATGTTTAGAAGACTCACTGCTCTTCCAGAGGAACCAAGGTTAATACCCAGCACCCAGGCAAGGAGACTCAAAACTATCTGTAATTGTAGCTATGGATATTTGTCGCCCTCTGCTGGCCTCCCAGGGTACATGCACTCTCATGGGCATATTCACACACAGACATACATGCACATAATTAAAAAGACTAAAATAAATCTTAAAAAAGAAAACAAAGGCTAAACCAAGATTTCTGTTAAAGCAGAATTTGGAATAAATTGTGAGCAACTTGGAGACCTAGGGGCCCAGAGATGTTTTATGCCTCCCCCTAACCTCTGTGTAGCCCTGGCTGTCCTGGAACTCATTCTGTAGACCAGGCTAGCCTCAAACTCAGAGATCCACCTGCCTCTGTCTCCCAAGTGTGGGATTAAGGGTGTGTGCTACTACTACCTGGCTTGTTGTAAGCCTTTTATCCATCTGTTTGAGACAGATTCTTGCTATGTAGTCCAGTCTGGCCCTGAACTTGTGATCCTTTGTCTCAGCCTCCCCAGGTGAGTGCTGGGATCACAGGCCTGAACCACTGTGCACAGCTTGGGGAGGATTTGAACTCATCTTTTCTGCGGGTGACTTTCCCATGCCTCTGCCAGAATGACTGCGCACTTGGCTATCAGAATCGAGGCCACTTGTCGATTGCCTACATGGCTCATTTTAAAACTCCTCAGCAGAACCCAGGAATCATGAGTGATCGGCAGGAGAATGGGAGCTGATCTGTTTCCTCTAGAAGGCCGAGCCTGGTGAGGAGAGGCCCCTACCATG